AGATCAGCCTGGAGAATGATGGGACAAGGTAGGTTTCACACTAAGTCTGAGGCTCTGTCATGCTGAACCACTCTCTCAGACAGGCCTGAAACCCAATTAAAGACCATGTTAGAGGTTGAGCAACACATGAGGAAACACAGTCTTGTTGTTTTGTAGCACAGGACTGGAACACTCGTGGCTTAATTAAAGCAGTAACCGTATTTGCAACAGGAAACTCTTTGCTTCGGTTTAGAAAGAAAGAAAAAATGACCATAGAAACCTTGTGGAAATGCGTGAGAAATCTGGGGGCAAAATGCTTTATGAAAGACACTTTAGCATCTCCGCCATGACTGACACGGCATCGTATCTGCTGTTTGAGCTGCCGCATCTGTGTCGCGGCCCCAGATCTGGGCACGACTTATGGATGGTGACAGCAAACAACAAACTAATGATGCTTTCCAAGGTTATCTCCGCATAAATAGCCATTAAGAAGAATGCTGACGCGGCAGTCCAAATCCACGAGCGCAGGCTACTAGGAAGCTGTTAAAAACCTTTAGCAAGGGCAACGAGTTAGCAGTCATAGATTTTGGGTTAGTGGAACATCCTTAAACTGCCTCAGTAGCCAGGTGAAGGGAATATCAGTGTTTGGGTGGGAGAAAGGAGAGTGCCAAGATGTCAGCGCTTCACCATGCTTGTGCATGACAAACACCAACCTGGAGCCAGCTGTGACAAAGCCCTAATCCAGAAAATCCCTCCTTCCTTTGCTGAAAATCCTAATGAGGATTTGAAGTACTCGGCAGGGAGGAGACCCGGGGGCTGAGGTTACACCTTGCCACTGCTTGCTCTCCCAGTCATTGTCTCCTTATCTCCTTATTGGCCAAGCCTGGCTGGCGATGAAAGAGACATGACAGCATGGTGGGCCTTCGTACACAGGCCCCACGCCTGCCTGGCTCCGCGGGGAGCCAGATTCCACAAACAACCAGGATGACATCACACAGGAGGTAGAAAGACAAAACCAACAGAGGTTGGTTTAGACACACGAGATAAAAGGGAATTTTAAAAATCCAGCCCTTTAGCCTTTACTGTTTTGCTTCAACAATAAGCAAATTGGAAAGTATGAAAACTTAGCATTTCAGAAAGTAATTATGCAACAACTGATTTGTCTCTGTTAACAAATTAGGTATGGGCCAATGTTTTCAAAGGCTGGCTCATAGCTAAATGCCAAATTAAGTGATCAGGGGACTGGAGCATGGCGACGCAGCGGGGTGCTATTCTTTTTCCACGGACACAACCGACACAAACGAGTATTCAAAAAGGGAAAAAAATGGTTTACTCATCTAACAGTGTTCTCTTTTTATTTTTAAGACAACTAAGAAAGAGGCACCTGGCGCTGGGCAGAATGAACGGCTAACGATTAGTCTGAGATACAGTGTGTGTGCCTTTAAAGACCGGGCTTATGATAACAGGATTTATAGTTTACCTGATTGGATTTACCTGTTAGATAGTTATCTTCTTATCTTCTTGCCCTAATGCTGGTCAGTAAGACACTGGAGCAGAAAATAGAGAACAAAAAAAGAGAACAACGTGGAAAATAACAAGATAGCAGCCTGCCATCTTAATGAAGTTATAAAACAGGCTTTTATGGTTACAAGAAAAGGCTAAATGGGTCAAATAGGTGGTGCCAGAGCACTGGGAGGAGCCGGGTCCTGCCCTTGCAGGTCCTGGTTCACATTATGCTGCAGGCTTTTACTTCTAGCCTTTATATTTTCAAAACACCTTGATTATTTCTCTCCACAGACTTTGGTGTGACAGCTTTTAAAACCCTTCTCTTTTCATTTCACGTGGTACAATAACAGGCCCTTTCTTGCTGCCCTTGAGAAATCTCAAGTACTTTGAACATTTTAAGCATCGAGGAGAAACTAGTGTGGTTTCAGGGTCTGTGACAGAAACGGGAATTCTCAAGCTTGTTTGCCACTTTTGCCACTGAACAAGCAGCTTTTATTATAGTGCAATGGAAGAGAAAATAACTGAAGTTTAATTTTTGTTGCATAATGTCGACATGACCTACTCGGGATAGTTTTTCTTATGTTTGCTTATACATCTGCAAAACATGATCACTCACACAGTAACATCCGTACACTGTGAAACTGTGACAATTAAATTAAACAAACTTCCCAAAAAGCTCCCAGGATAGGGAATTTCCTGATTAAGTGTTGATAATAATTTCAAACCAACAATGGTGCAGGAAGAGCAGCGTAGGGACAGGCGAGTGTGTCGCAACTTTCACCCTAATATCGCATTTCTAAAACTGAATCCCTGCTCTTCGGTTCGGCCCCGCTTAATTCCAACAATCATCGGGAAAACTTCGACGAGAGCGTGTGGCTGAGCTGGGTGGGAATTGTTATTCTGTCGCTGATACATACAAATCCTTTCAACCCCACCAGAATTCACTAAATTATTTTGAAAGATATGTGAGCCAATTTAATCATGTATTGCAGGGGTAAATCACGACTGTTTTTGCAAAAAAATATTATTACTTTGTAAATTACACCTTCGCCTCATTTTAGGTTGGTTGTCATGGTGATATCCACAGGGAAAGCCAATGGGACAAAAGGAAATAAACCCACTACTTTACAGAAGACCACTGTGAGCGTGATTGTTGTGCTGATGCACAGACAGACAGAAACATAGGTAGACAGATGAAATGAACGCTATTAATCACTGTGTTTAGATCGCCCTCGCTCTGTTTCACAAGGTAAATTAAAGACTGTAAACATAATTAATTAGTGGAAGGCAAAACATGCGTAGAGCATTGTGAATATTAATGTGTGAAGCCTGACGCTCACCTACAAGCTGAAACCGGTGCTGCTGGTGTCTGTGGGCTCTTTCTGTTTTAAAAGGGCATTCCCACACTTCAGTATTTCACTTCCATGAATTTAGGGGGAATTCAAAAGGTCAAAATTGATTCACCAGAGGCCAAGATATTTTTGTCAAGTCTTTCCTTCTTAATTCTTTTCCCACTTTTTCCAGTCGCTCTCCTTTAGAACTGTCTTAATGGATTGAGTAGTTCTTATGCTAAATTATTTTCACCTGATGTCTCTTTAACAAAGGTGAAGCTAAATTATAGACGGAGAGCAGAAAATAAAAAAGTAAGTCTATACTGTAACCAGCACTGGTCTCATATCATCGTGAGTGATCGTAGTATCTATGTCGTAACGACGCCCGTGTGGCCTTTTGTGCAGTACTGTCTGAAACGTATGTAACAAATCAATTTTGGAAATTAATGCTGCAGAATAGGCTGAGGAGGGTGCAATTTTGAGAGATGAGGATGTGAAGGGAAAAGAAAATACGGGGAAGAAATGAGCCCAGCAAATACAGATATTCATGAAGAAAAAGTGAAGGCATGAGACAGATGGTCAGTATCGGTATTGGCTGTGTGTATGAGTCTTTCTTTAGATACAACAAAAAAGAAAAACTGGAAAACTAACTTTAAACTATTTACAGCACTGCACTAACCCATTTAATTCAATTATAAAAATGCATTAAAAAGATATTAGGGGTAGACGCAGTTTAATGAAGCATGTTTACTTGAGGATATTGTTTGTAATGAACTGTTTCTGGGCTGAGATGGGAAAAAGGAGAAGGTGGGTGGGGGGCTCGGGGAGGAGGCTATCCAGCAAGAGGAAAAAGGTGAATGACAAGTGCCATGTTATTAATAAACGGGGCTATTTATGTGTTTTTGAACCCGTTCTCCTCCCCGATTCTGGACACATCGTCATGTCTGTCTCTTCTGCCAGAGTGGACTCACGCAGCACATGCAGTTCACTCCTTCGCACTGTTGCAGCAGATGTGTCTTAAAAAACCATTAGTCTATCGACAAGATTTATTGCAAACCCTGCTGACTGAATTTTGTGGAGCACCCGGTAAACACCAGAGGCAACGCAACATGGATAGGAAAACCTCTGAGGTTTTCCTAAATAGATTAACGTGTATATACACGAGTCTCGTAATTGCTCTTTGCCCGAGGTTCAGAATTGGGGTTTAGTAAAGTGCCAATATTTGTGGAAAACATATAGATTTGTATGTGCGTGCATGTAAAGACAGTGAAATCGTTTCCCCGACTGTTTCCCATACGGTTTCACATTTCTTACATGAAAGATCAAATTGAACCCAGGTGATACATGAGAAGACCATATGGTAAAGCACATCGTGCCAGTGTGACCTGCTACAGTGTAAATGAATCTTGAGAAATCATTACCTTGAAAACTTGAATGAGTAATCCTACATTATTAAGTTTTTTAAGAAGTAATAAAGCAGGTATAGCGAACAGTTGGCGAGATCTTAAAACAGTTGGCAGCAGTGAAGCAAAATCTGTAAAGACTCATCTTATACTGCACGAAAAAGATGCCAACCTCGCTTTATTTTAAATCCAATAATCAAACGTCTAAAGTAAAGCACCTCTAGTCTTGCGATTAAACACTAATAAGTAGAGGATACAGTTTATGAGATAAGGCTTGGACGCATAAATCTTGTAATTACGATACAGCTGAGAGTGATTTAATCAAAACTTAATGCAGTATGATTAAAACACATTCAAGCTTTATATTTTTTGAGGTGTGAAATCTGTGTGCCTGCCTGCCATGAGACAGAACATTTTAGTGAGGAATTTAAAAATGGATCCAGCTCTGATGCCACTGGGAACAACTGACGCTTTCAAGCAGAAAATCTCAGACAAATCACAATTTACCAACTAATGAAACCACTCAAGATTATCCCCCATCCGCCTGTGCCCACTGTCCTCCAAGCTGCATTACTTACACAAGCAGTGGCTGCACCCAGAGAGCAGATTTGGCTTCAGCCACAATGTAACTGCTTATGCTATATGCAGTAGAAAACAATAGCATTAAAAAAATAAGTTTTTTATGTGAGCCTGAAAAAAAACAACAACACACTTTTTCAAAAGACGCTATCAAAAAAAAACTAGCAGTATGTTTTTGACAAAAGCAAGAGGAGCTACTTACCCTCTGTGGAGTGTACTTGGGCTAGAGTGATGAGAAACCAGCAGAAAGTGGGTAGTTTCCACAGGGAGCAAGACATGGTGCCAGGTGTTGATGTTGTGTGGCAGATTTGTGTTGTGACTAACAGGTTCTGATTAGAAAAGTCCAAGCCAAGTGGTCTCAGAGATGCTCATCATTGATCCTCTAACCTGCAGAGAACACAAAAAAAGACATTCCCTTCAGCAGTGATAATAATTCAACGTGCGAGCTCTGTCCTTGTGTGATTTCACAGTGGAATTCATCCTGTAACACTCATGTCACAAGGCACTTGATGCTGCATATACATCCCGCTGCAGAAATGTGACAACTGTGAAATGCCACAAACCCCATGCAAGCCACTAAAATAAGCCCAGAAGTTCAATAATCCTGCAAAGGGAAATCCCTTGATGGCAGCTCAATGCTAACTATTTCCCCAGCAGGGAGGGGTGGGGGTGAATCGTTGTGTGTGTGTAAGCCGAGGGGGGGCTGAGTGGGATCAGCACCGTGATCAAAAAGACGGATCCCGCCCTGTCCACCTTCTACCTTCTCAAGACCTTTAGCGATGCTAACCTTATCAAAACTGTGTCAACTTGTATTTTCTGTTCCTGTTCCACAGAACACATTTATGCCTTTTGAACATTGTTTAAACCCCTTTAAAATCCCTTTTTTTTGGGCCACTGTCTCACGTGACATCACTTTGATGTGCTAAAACGTAGCACCTTTATAACACCAAAAGCATCTCGCCGACCGAGTAAAAGCTCTGTTGTAAGAGCTGCAGCGCGTCCTGACACGGAGTAAAACGCTACAGCCACGTGGTGGAAATGCTAAAGTAAATGACAGTAACATTTAGTGCTAGAAATATTAATGATAATAGCCCGGATAGCATCAGCCAAAAAGCTTTCCGTGCAGCTTGCTTTGCATTGTCATTGTTGTTATTGTCCATTTCAGAGGTGGTTTTCTTACATATGGGAGCTGTTTTCACATCCGGTTATTTTTAGGAAGGTTGCACACGTAACGAAACGATCAGCAACACGCATTTTACGTAAAAATGTAGCAGTAATGAAGCTACTTTTGGCACTACTGGAATCTCACTTGTATCCAAGCGGAGCTCTACTTCTGTTTGAGTGATATTTTATGACCCCCAGACAAACAAACAAACACTACCAAGCAAATGGTCACTTCTCTGTGTTGTGACTGACCACAAACCACCTTATCTCTCCAGTCCCCCCCCCCAGTCCCTTACATCTCTCCAAACCAAAATTCCTGTCTCCCCAGCCCATCCATACCTGTCTCTGTTGTACGAGTCTGAATGTTTGTTTTGCTCTCTTTCGCTACAAAAGCAAATGGCCTCCTCCCCGCCACAGATACAGCGTTGAAGCTGTGTAGGGTGAAACCTAATGCCTACCTGCGCGCCCAGGCATGCGTTTCACAGAACTAACGGCTCCCTTTTGTCTGTGTGTTTACACTGCTGGGCTAAGCTCAATCCTCTCACTCCCATGGACCATTAGCACATTCACCATGGGATATGGCATCACTCTGGCAACAAGGCTCATAGGACCCCATTAGAAACAGTTTTTTTCTTTTTTAGCACATTCAAAAACACAGTTCCATTTTTTTCTTTCCGAGTCTTCAGCCTGCAATTGTTAGTTAAGATTCAAAGGACTGGATGTTATCCGTTATACTTGCAGCTAACAAGAAAAGACCGTGAGGAATTTTGTTTGTCATGTACAGTCAGAGCTGCAAAACTCGTCTTCAGCTGCCTCCTCCACACTGGAGAATATCCGCGGCCCGAAAGGTCTTTGATCTATTTTGTCTGAGTTCTCAGACAGTGTAATAATTTATCACCGAGAAAACATGCAGAGCACACACATTAGCCAACAAAGTTATAATTAAACCTGCCATAATCAGCTCATCTAGTATGACATTGTGCCTCACCTGAGACCTCTAATTTTAGAGCCATTTAAAAGAGGTTAACAGGAGCAGAACACACACAGCCACCGGGTATTTAGTTTCAATGGAATAATATGCAGTCATGAGGCTTAACAAATGAAAGTTGATCAAACATGTTGGATTCCAATAAAACTCTGACCCTTTTTTTTCTTCAGTCCACGTGGCACCAATTCAATTTATCAGGTGAGTGGCGACACATAATCAGCCTGTAAAGTCAAGGTCCAAACGTACGGCGTAATCAGCTCTTGAGCTGATCGTCTAACAATAAAGCTGGTGGATAGTGACCATATTAGCTTCATCTTAGCCTCATCGGCTACTGGTTTGTCCACTTTTGCCAAAAGACATCTACGTGTGTTGAGCGGTGGATGATGGTAATCAGTCCTTAAAACTAATACAGTATGAACACTCAGATGAAATGAACAGTTTAACAAAATTAGGCTCCTTAACAGGATCATTCATTATTTACTCTTGTGTTTTAGCGTTTAACAGCAAAATATAGTTCAAGAGGAATATCTGCACATGGAGAAGGCGGCATTCATTCAGGCTCTAACCCTGGAGGCGTTAGCTGGAAAAAACGAAATCTGTTAAAAATTAGCTTCCGCTCTTGTCATCACATGCCATTGGCAACAAATGTAGCCTCACTTTGCACCAGGTTCACTCTGTGTGCGCACCAGACTGGGGAAACAGAAGCTACTGGATGTATGTGCACTAGTCCTGCTCAGCTTACATCCTTGACAAGACGCTGTGACCTACTTAACGTGTTCGTTTCGATAACCGGTCTATTGGCTTCCCATGGTGAAGTAGTCATTTTTCCCCTTTACAGTTGCTTTATTAGCTGATGCACCAACAAACGTATCGAGTGATCGTTTAAGCCAAATCAGGTCTAACTAAACTGTTATAGCTCGAGTCGACACTTTATGCCAAACGTTATGGTCAAAATAGGTTAAAACATGCTGGTGGATGCGTGTCTTCTTCATGGCTGAGGCTGTTTGTGTATGTAAACAGGCTGGTCTCAATATGATTTATTCTTCCTTCCTTGTCATCATTGCTTAGTGTAAAAAAAAGGAAGGCAGCGCGCTCACACGCCCTGTGTCAGAATGCTAAGACAAAGACGGGATGCCTTTAAACACTTTGCCTTGAAGGCAGCGTAGACCCCCTGCCACAAAAGGAAAAGAAAAAAAAGGACGACTGTAGATCCGCGGTACACGGGGACGGATGTTCTGTAAATCGACGATAACAGTCCTATACTTTAATATATTTTGTATCATGCTGTGAGTGCTTAACATGCTGAGACACCAAAGGCGCAGGCTGCAGGAAGACTGCAGACTGCCGTTCTCCTCATTAAACAGGCTGAGGTCTCCCCTCTCAGCTGGGGGTTTCTTTTCCCTCTCTTCGCCTTGTAACGGAAACTGCCGGTGATCTCATTTTGACCATTTTCTCAAATAGCCCTCGACTCCGGTGTGATCTCAGAGCAGGTTTGAGCATCTCTATAACGCCGCCGCTGCGTCGTGCTTGAAGTTTGGACTCGATACGCAGAGATGCACAGATGACGAGCGCCGCTGTCACGAAACACATGACCGTAGCGGTCTTCTGTGATTTTTAAGCACAGATTGCTAAAATGTCAACAAGCATCGCAGTGCTTGGGCTAAACGTGAAGCCACTGCAGACAGATGTTTAAGTACTCTGAAAAATGTAGAAGCCACAGGGGCGTGAGCCCAGAGGCTTTAAACATATGTGTGCTTGATATACGGGCAATACAACAGAATGCTTTATAATCAACAACTGTGTGACAAAATTAGGAATTACAGGAGCAGTTGGTCCTCTTAGGAAAAAAAGAAATAAAAGGGCTTAGTGACTGGGAGGAAGGGGGTTATTAGAAGGGAGGGAGAGAGGATTGATTGAAAAGGACAGTTTGAAATTTAAATGCAGTGGGGGTCTGAAAACAAGAGGCAGATGTGAAAGAATGCTGGGCTTCTTAGACAAAGCTCCTGGTTGTCCCTCTATAGCTGTTAGAGGGCCACAGGAGAATAGAAGAAGAGTTGGGCCATTCTACAAAACGAGGTCTGGGAGAATGGAGGGGGAGCCGGAATAAAGAACCTGAGTGGGGGAGTGGGACACGAGTTACAATGAGAGACTGACAGCTTGCAAGTCTTGCTTGACCCTTGAATTAGCCCCTGAGCTTTCAACAAACCTCGAGAAAGAGTTGGGATGTTAATTGTCACCGAACATCACAGGGATGCAAAAGAAGGGAAACGCAGGGCCAGATATTCACTGAAATGGAAATCAGAATCAACAGACCACCACATGTTGAATGCAGGGAAACACATTTGGTTTCTATTGGGCTTTCCCAAAACTATCCTCATACATTAATTCATACGCACTATAAGAATCCTGTTATCTGTTTCTCCAAAAAACCTGAAACATGGGGCTCAGTCAGAAAATACTCAAATCTGGAAGAAATGTCTTCTCAAAAGTGACTGTGTCCCTGCTTTGACACTGCTGAAATGTACATTTTGCAAGCGTAGAGATTGGGCTGGTGAGCAGATGAGTCTGGAGCCCCCCACTGAGTCGGATATAGGCCAGGAAGGAATCAAGGCTGACCTCTCTGCTGAGGGAATGATTGAGAGCAGAACAGGACCAGAGGAGCCGAGCGACACCCGACCAAACGCCGTGCGACTGCTGGTGCCACGAACACGAGACCCGACCCTGACACGAGCCGAGCCAGTGAAATACCGGGTCAAACACGCATGCTGCGCGACAGGACTCCTCAGCAGCAGAGATGGTTAATGGAGCAGGGAGCGCAAAGGATAAGGGCGGAGAAAAATTGCATGGAAGATTATTTTCATTTTATTATTACTCTGCATAGTAACATAGCTGGAGATGTCGTGATTAGGACTGCTAGGACTTTTAGTCACACTGTCTGTGGGAGGCTAGCTTACTTGAAACTTTCATGTATTATCTTGTGCATTTCATCATCTGAGAGCACATAAAACCAACTGTTTTTTGAATTTGTTGATCACAACATTTGGATTAAACGAATCATTAGCCGGCTCTGATGCAAGCCACACTGCACGGAAAAGGCAGCAGCATGCAAGAGGAGCAGAGCGTGACATAAGCGTGGCACTTGTCATGCTCACTGCTCTTAGTGTTTGCACCATTCATCATTTTTATGAGCCACTCAATTAATCGATTAGGGTACTCCCCACTGGTTAGGACATAT